ATTGTCTGGTCCGGACAATAGACCGCTGTCATATAGCTGGAATATTGCTGAGTGCAGCGTTAAACAACAAACGAACGGTTGAACGAAGGAAAAGCATGATTGCCGTAGGCCCCTAGCCCGGGTCGTTACGGGACCTAGTCTATCATGCTACCATAGCTTCGTTTCGGAAGTCAAGAGACCATGTCCACTGCTCCTAATTGTGACTTAGCGCAGAGTCTTGCTCATGTGAGAAATTTCATTGGGTGGTTATTTATAGCATCGTGCCTTTTAACTGGCCTCAAAACGGGGTTGTGGTAGTGAATGGCCCCAGGGACTTTATCAAACAGGATTGCTGATGTAATGCAGTGGGTAATTCGAGATGGGGACAGACGCACCCGTGGTTGACATTGTACGCAATGATTCAACGATCGGTGTGCAATGACACACAATCTGCCATGTCACATTATAAGCACCCGTTCGTCATAGTCCTCACATTTCGCAATCAACGTGTATTGGTGACCCATTCTGCAGGTTTTGTTTTTTTTAAATCCAAATGATAATATATTCCTCCATCTTAAGAACAGAAACAATAGTTATTGCGGTCAATAATGTTAAAATTTTAGTAAATAATTTTTTTCAGTGAATTGGTATTTGTTCTTAAGCAATTAACAGTGTTTTTATCGCTTTTTAGAACCTTACTTTGAAAAAAATGGTTCCCTTTCCCAGTTAATTTATAGTTAAATATTTTCGCTTGATCCTCATATATAATATAACTTACCAACACAAACCGGTTTTTTTAAATTTAAAGAACAGCGGCGATTCTAAAGAGCGAATAATCAATTTGTTGTGGTCCAAGCATACATACACTCTCTGACTTTAGATATATCCATGGGTCTATTTGAGTGTTGATTAATGATAACACAAACACCTTTCCCTTTTCTCAAACATTGCCTGATAAAGTCTCCGCTAAAATGATGAATATGATATGTAAATATTGACATGTTTCCATGGATAGGAATGTCTGAAATTATCACCAAGCCTTGCCATTCCTTCAACAATAATTCATAACAAAATATTGGTTCGTATTTCATGTGATGAGACGGCGATTTTCTACAATGGAGTCCCTTGTTCTGTTAAGGCCTAGTTCTATAATCTGATAAACATTCAAAATAACTGTTATTATTAACTGTCGGGTGCTCATGCACTCATTTTACTGATTCAGTTAGGTAAAAACATGTACATGATACACACATGCCCATTATGCTAATCCATGCAATTATGACGTGTGGTTGCCAATAGTGACGTAAAACCACGCGACACATGCCCCGTTGACCCGCGTTTGCCGGTTGGCTAGTTTTGAAAGAGCTCGTGACAATATTTAAATACATCCAGATTATATACTGGTCTCACCTCAGACATAGTTTGTGGTTGCCAAGTAGTAATATATAATGTTGACCAGAGCTTGTGAAGTTTGGGAAAGAAATCGTGGTGACATGTACATAAAGCTCTACACCGGTGTAAAATTTAGATCAACCCTGCACGCACGAATGTATTTTATATACTCTGTTGTCTCTGGTCACACGAGCTGAGCCTTGAAATAGGATTTCCTGATATGATTACCTGACTAAACGTCTTTGCAGCATAGCATGCTTAGATTACGTTCATACCAATGTATGTAGATGGTGAGAATGTTTGGCCATTTTTTGTTTAACGCCTCCTTCCACCATTATATATGGAAGCCTACGGAAGCCTTTTTAGGGCCATGACGTCGGTCTGTGAATTTGTGCGTCCAGTGACTGATATAATGAGCGCCGTCTGGTTACGATGACAGACAATCATCCGAGTCTCCGTGAGCGACAACCAGATCAATTTAATTGTCTTTTACGGTAAGTCTATAAGGTACTGGGCACATATTCTAACCCAGAATCTCCACTGATTCAATCCCATGTTCGTGGATAAGTGAGTTAACGGAGTTTGGGCCCTGAGTTATTTGAACCATTACACGATCGGGGACAGACAAACCAGATGTTTGCAAAACCTGGACCTCTTTATACAATAAACACTTTATTTATTATATGCAATTATGTTTCTACTTTTCTATTGAGTGCCAAACGATTTCAAACGGCTGGTGCAGCCGTTACTTGCCACATATGGCTTCATGTGACTGTAAACTGTCCTTGTGTCTGGCTAGGTGTCTGTGAACGTGTATGTAATCTGTCAAATCCAGACAGACATTTTTAGGTATATACAAATATACATTTTGCACATACGTTCACTTGGAGTGAGACCCGTGAAGATCCGGGGTAGAATATAGGTCTTCAGCAACCATGCTTGCCGTAAGAGGTGACTATGCTTGTCGTAAGAGGCGACTAACGGGATCAGGTGGTCAGGCTCGCTGACTTGGTTGGTGCATGTCATCGCATCCCAGTTATGTTTGTCGTAAGAAGTGATCATAAAGGACTGAAATGATATGTTTGTCATAAGACTTGATAATAAGGGACTGTCATCAGTGTTTCTCACACATGAATTTCAACAGTATTGTTGAATAAAGGACACTTATAATATATCTTTCATCAGTATTGGTGAATAAGGGACTTATATGATATATTTTTCATCAGTATTGTTGTATAAATGACTGTTGTAGTATACTTTTGATCGGTATTGTTGAATAAAGGGCCGTTAGGATATATATTTCATCGGTATTGTTGAATAAAGTGAGGCCTTAGTATAGTTGAATATAGGACTGTTATAACATACCGTATTGATACATATAGGACTGTGATATATATGTTAGTCGTATTTGTAATTAAAGGCCTTTCGTTGCGTATCTTTTTATAAGTATTTCTGTATATATGGGTGTCATGGTATATATGTCTCGAGTATTGCCGCATATACATGAGGTTGCCATGATATATATATCACCAGTATTGGCGCATACAGATGAGGTTGCCATGATATATATATCACCAGTATTGCCGCGTACACATGAGGTTGACATGATATATATTTCACCAGTATTGCTGCATACACATGAGGTTGCCATGATATATATTTCACCAGTATTGCTGCATACATATGAGGTTGCAATGATATATTTGCCTCCAGTAGTGTTGCATACACACGAGGTTGCCATGATACATACTGAACCAAATTAAAAACTTCACAATCCTAAAATTTAAACATTTTGACCAGTTATCATTGTGGGCCCTTATTGTGTATTAAAACAGTAATGGCCACGTATTGTCTTCAGATAACACCCGTTTTTTGTGCAGGCGAATCGATCAAAATCATGACGATGGGTTGTAGTCGACGGACTGTTTATGATTTACAGACGCGTCTACAGCAAACGGGTACCACCGCTGATCGCCCTCGGCCAGGTCGACCACGTGTGACGTCACATGCAGAGGATCGTCAGATTGTCTTACGTCACCTCCGTAACCGTTTTTTGACGGCTACATCAACCAGAAATGAACTGTTTAGGGGTAGACTGAGTGCGCAAACTGTTTGAAACCGTCTGAGAACTGCTCACATTCAAGCACGACGGCCATACTGCGGGCCGATTCTGACTCAATTACACAGACGTCAACGTCAATTGTGGGCACAGCGACAGTTACGAGGAATTGGAATCAAGTCGTCTTCAGTGATGAATCCCGACTTAATCTTCGATTTGCTGATGGTAGGGCGAGGGTGTGGAGGCGCCGTCATGAACGTTACGCCCAGTGTTGTGTACAGGAAGTTGACAGATTTCGAGGCGGAAGTGTCATGGTGTGGGGTGCTTTCTGTTGCAATGCACGTTCCAGGCTTCTTGTCATCCGTGGCAACCTCAACGCTGCTGCTTACCGCGACCAGGTACTGGCACCAGAACTTCTGCCTTTTATGGCAGCACATGGATCCGGTTTGATCTTCCAACGACAATGCCAGACCCCACACAGCAATTTTGACAAGGAATTTCCTTCAGAATGCGGGAGTCAACGTCATGGACTGGCCGTCAAGGTCTCCCGACCTCAATCCCATCGAACACGTCCGAGATGCTCTTGGCAGACGTCTGCCCACTCTCCAGAACCAACCACAGAATTTGCAAGATCTTGGCACCATTTTGCAGCAACAATGGCGTCGTCTTCCCAATCATGTGTTCACAAGCATCACAAGGTCCATGCGGAGGCGTTGTGTGGCAGTTGTCAACGCACATGGTGGCCATACACGCTACTGAACTTGTGTGCCATCAGATTCTCGTGCTTGGGACTTATGATTTAAACCGTTGATGTTATTACCGAATACCGTAGGTGCTTGGAACAAATTATGGTAACCACCGTTAATTAAAATCCTTCTTTGGACATTAATGATTAAAAATTACCTTCTCTGATACATTTGTCCGTTGTATATCATAAATGGGATTACTTTTAAAAATGTGAAGTTTTTAATTTGACTCAGTATATTTGCCACCAGTATTGCTGCATATAGATTGCCACATATCTTTTATCAGCCAATCACTTATTCGCCCGCGCACTGTCATTGACTTTTGTTGATCTGCAACATCCATATGTGTTAACTGGGAAGCAACATTATCGCTTTTCCGAGAGCACTTCTATCTAATTTACCGAGGCCGAACGATAACATAAACATGGAGACGTCACGAACGACCTTGTACTTGCACCGATGAAACGAACATCCACAAAAATCTTCACACCTACTTTCAAAATATCTTTTAAAGATAAACAAAATAGAACTGTTATTCATAAAATTGAAGTACAACATCATCCTTCATCAGTCTCGACAAGATGACATCATGCACCGGATTCAAAATAGCAAATATTTTGTACGTGGTTGTAAGATTTCTTACAGAGTCTAGGAAACATTTCTTAAAAGCCACTGAAGTGCCATTACCATAACAACACTTTTAATAATCTTGTCATGAATTCGCCATATTGCTATTTATGCGATAAGAGGACATGAAACGCCCCCGCGTGAAGACTCCTTTCTTCCGGTCGGGGTGATTACTTCGTGGCTTCTGGAGATTCAAGATGGCCGCCGGTAGAGGTTGTGGGCGGAAGTTGGGGGTGGCAGGGGACAGTGGGGTCAGTGGAGACCGGAAGTCGGGGGAGTGAGAGACCATACAGTTGATTAGGAGTTTGCCTGATAATATATATTCTTTCTTGCCTCATGAATAGTGGGCAAAAGGTCGTACAGAATCGGTGTTCATAGTTACCAAAAGTAACAGAATTTATAAATTTATAAATAATAATTATGCAAACAAACAATAATACCACAGGCTGATTTTGTTTCTTAACATGACTGTATTTACCTACGTTTTGTGTATCAAAACCAACAGCGATGAATGTAAAATTGTTCACATAGCAACGTGCCCACATAGAGCGTTTAAGAATATTTTCCTAGCGACAGCTACAGCCTTAGTCAAACCTGATTATACAAACCGGAAACGTTTCTCCTTCAAACATCTAGCACTAATCACTTGCGCTTGTCACTTGTCTAGTGTAATAGTCTTTGTGCTGTGTTATGGAGACAGAAATAGAAAGTCATGTAAATCGCGTCTTGTACAGTCTAGAGTGAGTGAGTATGGTTTTACGCCGCTTTTAGCAATATTCCAGCAATATCACGGCGGGGGACACCAGAGATGGGCTTCACACATTGTACCCATGTCGGGAATCGAACCCGGGTCTTCGGCGTGACGAGCGAACGCTTTAACCACGAGGCTACCCTGCCCAAGAAACAACACGGTCCAATGCAGGATGGATTCAGTTTATTCAAAAACAAATTTGTATAATTAACGAAATAAGAATCCCAGTTCAGCGGTTATTGAATTGCGTTTAGTAATGTGTGCGATGATGTTGTTGATCTAATATATACACATATAGGACACTGCAAGTTTTCCGTGCTCATGGTGGAAATTTTGTTTGTGAGTAATGCTGTTACATAATGTCAGTCGAAACAGTGTAGGTTACTTTCCTAATTGGTTGAAAATAACCATGGATCTCCCCGTGGAGTATATTTACATACACATTATATAGCAATGGGTGATGCCTTAGCATTACAATCGTTATCACCAGAATGTTAATACGACTACGCAATTGTTTTGATCAAGTCCGTGTTTACTGTAAACAATATATGTTTATCAGAATCACGTGACTCGAGCATCACAAAGTTCATTGTATTTACGGTATATTTTTTCACTATCCAAAGTATATTTCTATCAGCCATATACGATAAGAACTGGATGTAATGATAATTTCTAATAGATTTCACTAATTCACTAATTACCAAGAAAGAATGAGAAGAAGACACTGATCGTTTTTATGTATTGACTCACTCTAAATATAACTTAATAGATTTAATTTCAAGTTTCCAAAATTCGTAGATTCCTTTAAGTATGCACCAATTAGGTTTGAGGTGAACTACATTACACATATGTGTCATTTCATAAAAGAGTTTAGTAATAAAACTAATAATAATGATAATAATGTTAATAATAATAATAATAATAATAATAATAAGAAGAAGATGATGAATTGCCCCCCTTAGTCGAACCAGGATCCGATAATCATTTGCTCTTATATTGGTGTTAATTATGATCCTTTGTATTTCGTTACTATATAAACTCGTTGGTTTCTCCAGGTAAATCAGTAAACAAGAGGTCATACATAATTATAGTTTCGAGAAAAACAGAAGAAATGCCATACATTCGACATAATCGTAGTTTCGAGGAAAAACTGAAAAAGACGTCATACGTTCGACATAATCGTAGTTTCGAGAAACCGTCGTCATAGCCAGGCTCTAGATAAGGTGATGCGACTAAGGCTCACTATAGCGTACGGACATGTATCGATGCACTGTTGTGTATTGGAATATAGCTACAACTGGTGGTCATACGGGGCGACTTACTAGATCGGTCGGCCAGATTCGCTGACTTGGTTGATACATCTTATCATACCCCAATTGCCTGGATCAATGTCAATCACTGGATTGAGTGGTCCAGACTTGATTACTTACAGACATACAGCTGGGATATTGCTGAGTGCGGCGTTAATGAATAGACAAACAGACATGGAGATATAATACACTGGATAATCAAGGGTGACAACAAACAAACAAACAAACAAACAAACAAAATCCTGATGGTCATTGTTAGACAGGCCGCCGTTGTGTAGTTGGAATATGACTGCGTCGTCAACCAACAGATTCCCGGTGTCCGCTTCCATCAAGCATGGCGTGTTGCACTGACGGCACAGCTGATTCTGTTGGAAATTGATTTAACATTTTTAAATTGGTATAAACGTATCGTAAGTGTAATTTACAACTAGTTTTTGCTATTTTTCATCGTGTAGTTATTTACAAATATTTGTATATGAATTACATATTTGTATGTATTTATATGTAAATTGGTATTCAAATCGTTAAGTGTTTCTATAAATTGCATCATGCCCTCACAATGCCCCGAACCACTATGATACGTATCTGACTAGTATATCACAGTTCCTAATCGACCAGCCTCCGCTGCCTCACCCACATGCCGTGTAAGCAGAGGATGTCGTATGCAGTGCCAACGTCGACAGCGTTGACGTGGGACGGTGGCTGGTGTCTGATGCAAGCCCGGCTGATGCAATCCTATCTAGAATTATCCTCTCAACCTGACCCAGTTCCATATTGTAGTGAGTGATCAAATAAACAAGTACATATCACGAGGCGATATGAGCAAGATAAGCATAATGTCCACGTGACGAAACAAGCACCCTCCCACCCTTTCTCGGGCTATACATTCGTATATGTCTTTAACATGTTTAGAAATGGAACACATTTCACCCCCAACACGACAACCCAACATCCAAGAGTTTAAGGCCCTAAAATATGTGTATTTCTTCCACATACTTAGCGTTTAAATGAGTGAGTTTGATTTTACGCCGCCTTCAACAATATTCCAGGAATATCACGTCGGGGGACACCAGAAATTGGCTTCACACATTGTACCCATGTCGGGAATCGAAACCGGATCTTCGGCGTGACGAGCGAACGCTTTAACCACTAGGCTACCCGACCACCCCCTTAGCGTTTGAACACACTTCTAAACATGTTTAGGAAAGGAACAGGTTATTGGACAAGGAACGCGTTTAGACTTGCATAACGAATCTAAATACATTCTTATGTTCGTTTCACCTTGCTTTTAATTCCCCTAATGTTTTGTCGCCAATCTATTCATCCGTCTCTCGCTATAGCTGTACCTTCTCTGTGCCCGCAACGCCAGACCTCATCTATTGTCTATAGTAACGCGTCCAAGCGAGCTACACTCGGTGAGACGGTCGTACTTACCCCCATAAACACCCCCAGTCCACCGGGGACAACTCTGGTGGTTCTATAAGGGATGATTCTGCCGACAATGATCTATGTACAGTGACCAACAACTATAAACACCCTCTATTCATACCTTATGAAAGCCACTTTATCTACAATCGTACTTAGCCGATAATTCTGTTTACTTATATTCTTTACAGCTAACCAGGTCAATAGGAACTCGATAGCAGTCTCAAGTATACTTAATGAACCTGCGATTGAGTGAGTGAGTAAGGGAACGAGTGGGTGAGTGAGTTAGTATGATTTTACGCTGCAGGGAAACATCAATGACACACGTAATCAAATATTGAATTGTGTTCATCGATTTTGGAATTAACTATGTGAACCAGTTTACAAGTTGTATTACTATTTGAAAAGGTAATTGTATGATTATTAAAATCAGGTGAGGTGAGGTTTAACGTCACTTTCAAGATTATTGCACTTATATGCAAATAAAGTTTTAATGAATAAAGAAAAATAATCCTTTAAAAAATTCGCGTGTCCGCCTAATGGCCATGCTGTCAGTACGGGATCAGACAGTATATGCGAGACCACTAACACTCCACGGCTTGTAGTACTCCTTAGCATGAATGTAAACATACCTAAAACTGCTGTTTCAGCACATTGGATTCATAAATATTTGCATTACTAAACTGCACTATGACTGTTTCCGGAAATGGTCCCTTTAATAGCTTTGATAATCTAGTCTTTACACTAGCAACTCATTTCCTGACAGTCAAGACACTTTCACGTTGGCGGAGGAGTTTCACTCAAGCACTGAAAGGAATAAGTGAATGTTGAGTAACGCCACAGGCATCTATATTCCTGCTAAGTGACGGCGGCATGCATATCATAGAATTTGGACCAGACAATCCAGTGACTGTCCCGTGATGATCCGGGTTAGAATAGGTCTTCAGCAACCCATGCTTGTCGTAAGAGGCGACAAACTGGATCGGATGGTAAGGCTCGCTGATGCATGTTATCATATCCCTGTTGCGTAGAACGATGTTTATGATGTCAATCACTGGATTGTCTGGTCCCGACTCGATTATTTACAGACCGCCGTCATATTGCTGGAATAATGCTGAGTGCAGCGTGAACCAACCAATAAACAAACAAACTGAAGATTAGCAACGATCTACCTATCAGGCCTTGTTGACATGTGAGTGAGTTGTATTTTACGCCGCTTTTAGCAATGCTCCACCAATATCACGGCAGAGGACACCAAAAATGGGCTTCACACATTGTACCCATGTGGGTGCTGGCATGTAATCACCCAAGACACCAAACCTGACCACCCGACCCAACCCAGGAGCACCATACAACACCACTGGAGTGTTGGACACCTTGTCTAACCCTGTCCTCACGTAGGGGCGGTCAGGTAGCCTAGTGGTTAAAGCGTTCGCTCGTCACGCCAAAGACCCGGGTTCGATTCCCGACATGGGTACAATGTGTGAAGCCCATTTCTGGTGTCCCCCGCCGTGATATTGCTAAAAGCGGCGTAAAACCATACTCACTCACTCACTCACTGTCCTCCCGTACAGTTACTGGAAGGGAATTGACAGAAAACACAACACCATATGGTCAGATCTCTAGGAAATCAGGTAGCGCAGGGAATTGCAATCACTCACGGGCGGGTAAAACCATACTCACTCACTCACTCACTCACTGTCCTCCCGTACAGTTACTGGAAGGGAATTGATAGAAAACACAACACCATATGGTCAGATCTCTAGGAAATCAGGTAGGGCAGGGAATGCCAATCACTCACGGGCGGGTCTTTCATCACATACCTATACATGTACCATTATACACATACGAAAGGTTGCCCCAAACGTGCCCTACATGGTTATGACCATATGCCTGTATCCCCTCGTATTATCTTCAAGTCCGCAATATCCTTCTATCAATATTATCGATACTGATACAAGCCCGATAGTTCTCAGGCTCAAGGGGGTGTGCAACAGCTGTCACGCCATCAACCCTTGCCCTGACACGGACTGCGTGCAGCAACACTGGCCAGTATTAATAGAGTTCCCTAATACGATCCTAATGCCATGGTCGGGCCTACTTTCTCTAACTACAGAAGCCCTCCTGTGACCAAATAGCTGATAGTTGCCACAACAGGACTCTGAAATGTAATCCTTGTACCAATACAGATCAGCGGAATGGGATATTGATACTAGTGTTGTTCTGAAGTACTTGGATATTTCAAAATAAACTATTTTTGTTGTCTTTCTGAAATTTATGTGTAGAATATTCACTGCTATTGATATTGTATTGTGTCAAGCTAGAATCATGCACACACACACGTTTTCTTCACAGGTTTTGATGGAAAGTGTCATTGATATTTTCTTATTAAAAATAGGCCATGTCCCTAACAGGTGATGAATATCCACGCTCGATGAAGTCAATGACACCAGGCTGTATCACAGACATATGACAACCCCGGATTATGAAGTCAATGACACCAGGCCATATCACAGATAGGTGACAACCACGGACTATGAAGTCAGTGACACCAGGCGATGTCACAGACAGGTGACAACCCCGGATTATGAAGTCAATGACACCAGGCCATATCACAGATAGGTGACAACCACGGACTATGAAGTCAATGACACCAGGCCATATCACAGACAGGTGACAACCACGGACTATGAAGTCAGTGACACCAGGCCATGTCACAGACAGGTGACATCCACGGACTATGAAGTAAGTGACACCAGGCCTTATCACAGACAGGTGACACCCACGGACTATGAAGGCAGTGACACCAGGCCATGTCACAGACAGGTGACAACCACGGACTATGAAGTCAGGGACACCAGGCTATATCACAGACAGGTGACACCCACGGACTATGAAGTAAGTGACACCAGGCCTTATCACAGACAGGTGACATCCACGGACTATGAAGTCAGTGACACCAGGCCATGTCACAGACAGGTGACACCCACGGACTATGAAGTCAGTGACACCAGGCCATGTCACAGACAGGTGACACCCACGGACTATGAAGTCAGTGACACCAGGCCATGTCACAGAGAGGTGACACCCACAGACTATGACGTTAGTGACACCAGGCTATGTCACAGACAGGTGACACCCACAGACTATGAAGTCAGTGACACCAGGCCATGTCACAGACAGGTGACATCCACGGACTATGAAGTCAGTGACACCAGGCTATGTCACAGACAGGTGACACCCACAGACTATGAAGTCAGTGACACCAGGCCATGTCACAGACAGGTGACACCCACGGACTATGAAGTCAGTGACACCAGGCCATGTCACAGACAGGTGACACCCACAGACTATGAAGTCAGTGACACCAGGCCATGTCACAGACAGGTGACACCCATGGACTATGAAGTCAGTGACACCAGGCCATGTCACAGACAGGTGACACCCATGGACTATGAAGTCAGTGACACCAGGCCATGTCACAGACAGGTGACAACCACGGACTATGACGTTAGTGACACCAGGCGATATCAAAAACAGGGGTTTGCAAGGTTTTTTTCAATGTTCATTTATAAGTATAAAATGAAACAATAATTAATTTAAATATATTTATATACCCCCAAGTCTATACTCATTATGATTTAGCTTTGATATTTCCCTTCGTGTAATTACAGCGGCGACAAGTCAGGTGTTAAAACCTGCCACAAACATTGCCCTTTCTCTGTTAAAGGAACACGCAATGCAAGAACATAAAGGGCGTGTGGGAGAAGCGACGGTGCACTGCTAGTCCTAGGGGTATATTATGTTACAATCATCTTTAAATATACCAAACTCTGGTTTTCCAATAATTCCTATTCATATGAACAACGGCGTTAATTAGCCCTACTGGGGCTCTGAATTTGTTCCAGCAGGAAGTCGACATGACAGCTCCACAGGAATGTTAAACTCCTTAGCGTTAGCATTGAGGAGGAACTGAACTCTACAAAGTTGATTCAAACCCCGCATTCACCACTATGCCGGTCTGTGTACTCGCCTTTAATGAGGTACATCAGTCAATTGGGGAGTTATAACTCTCATCGCACGGAGACAATGGGGTGGTGGTGTTTGTGTGGGAGGGGGCACCTTGCAACAATGTCACTTTAGTGGCAGGCAGATTATTTATTTCTAACAGTCTGAAGCATAATTATTTATTTCACGAATTATCAGGTACAATATATTTCTTTCCATGAAATCCCAGCCCCACCGCCACACTCGAATATCAACTTGTCGGTCGTGACATCCATCTGAAAACAGGGAAATACCCCGTTTCACAATCTCATAACTCTGATAATAGATTCACCGTGTTTCAGATAGTGTGCCTGTTTGACGCATGTGCATGATTCACCGACGTTGATAATGCACGTGAGCCAGCGTCTATGCACCGTCGACATCTATATCGACGTGGAACGATGCTCATGATGTCAATCACCGGATTGTCTGGTCCAGACTCGATTATTTACAGACCGCCATATAGTATGCTGGAATATTGCTGAGTTTGTTGTTAAACGGAGTACTCAGTAATATTCCAGCTATATGAGACGGTCTGTAAATAATCGAGTCTGGACCAGACAATTCAGGGATTGACATCATGAGCATCGATCCATGTAATTGATGCATCACCAACCAAGTCAGCGAGCCTGACCACCCGATCCCGTTAGTCGCCTCGTACGACAAGCATAGTCGCCTTTAAGCAAGCATGGGTTACTGAAGACCAATTCTTCCCCGAATCTTCATGGGTCGCATCTAAACAATGACAATCCAGTCATTGGCTTCATGAGCACCGATCCAGGCAAGTCACCGAGCTTGGCCACCCGATCTGTTTTGTCGCCTTTACGACAAGCATAGGTTACCGAGAACTTATATGCTTATCGAAAATCCCCACGGGGTTGGGTTTAAGCACTCTACACACGAACAAATGGGGTTAACTTAGGTAGGGGTGGGGGAGGGATGTTTGTTTGAGACAGATTGAGTCATCGCTCCAAGACCAAAAGTCAAATTTGGCACCAGTATTCTGCGTGATCCTCTCTCTGCTGCACTGGTTAATGACCACATTTTTCTTCTATCGATCAATAGGTCAATACTATCGATGTAGCCTTGACGTCAGAGACAGCATGTAACGCCATAGCGTGATGCCAGGCACTCACCGGTCCAACTCTCATCTGAATTATGTTGTATTTATGGACCAATCCGTGATTGGCCACAATATGCCGTCTTACTTCCATCACAGCAAGGGAGAGGATTAATGGAGGTGTCCCGCATTCCTCGTCAGTGTCAGACCACGTTTCTTCGACCTTGGTGCAGCATCCTTACGTAAGCGTGCACAGAACATGCAGATGATATCAAGAGACAAACATGCAGATGATATCAAGAGACAAACATGCAGATGATATCAAGAGACAAACATGCAGATGATATCAACAGACAGAACATGCAGATGATATCAAGAGACAAACATGCAGATGATATCAAGAGACAAACATGCAGATGATATCAAGAGACAAACATACAGATGATATCAACAGACAGAATATACAGATGATATCAACAGACAGAATATACAGATGATATCAACAGATACAGAACATGGAGATGATATCAACAGACAGAACATGGGGATGATATCAACAGACAGAACATGGGGATGATATCAACAGACAGAACATGCAGATGATATCAACAGACAGAATATACAGATGATATCAACAGATACAGAACATGGAGATGATATCAACAGACAGAACATGGGGATGATATCAACAGACAGAACATGGGGATGATATCAACAGATACAGAACATGGAGATGATATCAACAGACAGAACATGGGGATGATATCAACAGACAGAATATACAGATGATATCAACAGATACAGAACATGGAGATGATATCAACAGACAGAACATGGGGATGGTATCAACAGACAGACCATACAGATGATATCAACAGACAGAACATACAGATGATATCAACAGACAGAACATGCAGATGATATCAACAGACAGAACATACAGATGATATCAACAGACAGAACATGCAGAAGATATCAACAGACAGAACATACAGATGATATCAACAGACAGAACATGCAGAAGATATCAACAGACAGAACATACAGATGATATCAACAGACAGAACATGCAGATGATATCAACAGACAGAACATACAGATACTACCAACAGACGGAACATGCAGATGATATCAACAGACAGAACATGCAGAAGACAAACATGGGGATGACGCCAACACAGACGCATGCAGATGATGTCAGCAGACACAGAACATGAAGATGACTTCAACAGACACGGAACAAGCAGATGATGTCAACAGACATAGAACATGGAGATGATGTCAACAGACACAGCAAATGGAGATGGCGTCAACAGACACACAAAAATGGAGAAGGCGTCAACAGACACAAAACATGGAGATGACGTCAACAGACACAGAACATGGAGATGACGTCAACAGACAAAACATGGAGATGGCGTCAACAGACACAGAACATGGAGATGGCGTCAACAGACACAGAACATGGAGATGACGTCAACAGACACAGAACATGGAGATGACGTCAACAGACACAGAACATGGAGATGACGTCAACAGACACAGAACATGCATATGACGTCTGATCTGATGTCATTCACATATTCCTTTGTTTGTAATAATCTGTAATACCGTTGTTATGTACTGCTCTGTCTTTACTGCACAACACAGATTAGTACTGTCTTATCTGCTTTTACTGTACAAGATTCATTGCTACTTGTCTGCTTTTATTTTACAAGATTCATTGGTACTTATCTGCCTTTACTATACAACATGTATTGGTTCTGTCCTGCTCTTCTTTGCCTATGCGACATTCATTACTAGTGTGCCGCTCTGTTTAATAACCCCACATTATCGTTACAACTTTTTATTTTCTTCCACTTTGCAGATGCGCATAAGTGCAAGATACTATAGGGATACATTAAGACTATGGCAGCTAGGTCAGTATTAAAGTATTCAATGTTATAATTCGCAATACTATATATGTCGTTATCAAATAGTACTGACTGCAATCCCGCTGGATTTCTTGGAACGTTGTCATTTCCAATAATATTTTTTAAATATACTAATAGTGTGTCAACGGGATTGTTATTTTGTAGAGTCTATCCAAGTGGAAGATCTTCTCCTGAAATAGGTACGGTTATTTTCCGATATTCATTGGTGCTGTACTCATCTGCTTTACTATTTATTGGTACCAATATCGGCACCAATATATGGTTGATAATAAAAATAGCCACAGCATAGTCACGAATACGAAAAAGGTGGCAAAAATATCATATTTCTTTTGTCTAAGCTATTAGTACTCGTCGGCTGTTTATAGGCTAAACCAAGGGTGAAATTAAAGCCAGACACAAATGATACTGGTTGTATAAGGAAGTGTTTAGAATATTCGGAAGTCAGTTGAAACAAACGGCATTCAATAATTCACATTCAACAAAATCCCTTGAATAGTAGAACAATTTGTCACTAACGGGTGATGACCATTTAATAGATGGACATTATTATAACAACAGATTAATATCCCTGCAATTTTGACAGCACTCAAGCTAAACCTATTATGTTCTGAATTAATAAGGCCAAACTAACCCCATGAGGTGAAACTAAGAGCTAAAACCCTGCATTGAATATTAAACTATCGATCACACGTGCATGTGCTATAAAGACAATCTAAACAAGCTGATGCCCTGGGTTGGGGGAGTGGGTTTGAGAAATTGCCGCTACTTATTGTCAACAATGAATGAGGCACGTGTCACCGACCTAGTGCTTTTGAGAGAATATTGGCGTATAAATTATGCCCGCATCAATCCTTCTCGTTTCTATTTCCGTTAAGAACATTGGTGTAGATTCGACTGTCGCCCGAAAGCTGTGACACTGTAGGAATTTATAGCAATGAATAATAACAATGTCTTGTAAACTCAAACATTATTTATTACAATCTTCCGGCGTCGTTGAATTCTTCAGTGACGAAATTCACAAGGGACTTTTCGTCAGCTGTGTGGAGTTCGTCATTAGTGATCGATTCTGTCATGCATACGCAAGACACATTGGAATAACAAGGGTATTCTCGGTGTTACAGTGTGCTTACGGTCTCTATTCTTACTTTCCACTATAGCATCACTTGTATATGAATACAAAATATTTAACGGTCCTTTATGAATGACAGACGTACAGTACATCGTTGTACGACATAGTCGTACTTGCCATCATTGTACTACGCACATTGTGTTGTGTGTTATTCTGCTGTGACGCAATTGAGATCATATATGCTGGAATATTCTGTAAGAGAATAGAACAAAATATAATTTAGGTTGTCGTATTGACTTAATTGATTATGCAAAACCTTGAAAAGGTATCTGGGTGAAATGCAATAGGTTATGTGTACTTGGGACGTCCCTTATCGTGAAGGCAATAACTTTATAGGCATCGGTTACAGGCTGAAATGTAATTGAATTCCATGTAGACCAACTACAGCGGATAAACAAACGAGCTGAATTGTCTATGCTTTGGGGTTTGTTTCTATATGAGATGAATGTATGGGAGATACTGAGAAATGATACAAAACTATGCTACATTTTATCACTTCTGAAACTATAAGGACTCAAAGAATCACCATGTGTTAGGGTATAGGATATAACCTTCTGAACAAATGGATTTTGAGATCTGATAACTATACAGTGAAAATTAGTGTTAGGTTCTGGGAAAGGACTTAACACAGTGTTTCTTCGGAAGTTAAAAACACCACTGAAGGAGACAGTGGAGGCTTCAGGAACTATTTCTCGAATTTTGAGGTTTCCTTATATTCTACAAAAATATGTGAAGTATAATTCTTCAGAATGCCGGTAGTGTTTGTTTTCTAGGATATTTATTAGAAGGCGGTCACTTGTATCTTGAGAAAGTCTGCATCGTGGTCATTAGAACAGTGACATGTGTTGGTATTTCCGTCAGGGCGTGTGTGAGGTTTATCATCATCTTCAGCCACATTACACAAGACTGGGCTGAATATGCAGTTTTTGTTTGAAACACTGACGCAGTGTTTGGCGATAACATGCTTAATAATCCAGTCTCTCACTTCACCATGAGTGTCCTCCTTGACCAGTCAGCACCAGAGGGATCCTAATTCTACACATGCTTTTGAGGATTTCTTCCAGTTCAGGATTTTCAGCGCAACATTCTTAAATTTCTTCGTCTGAAGATTTTCCTAAATGTAGGACAAATTTAATTCAATGTTTTACAGCTTTTCCGAGTCAGTACCTCAAATTATGTATTTAACCAGATGTTGATAATGCTGACATCACTTCATGATTGTCCTCCTTGACCAGCTTTTCCGAGTCAGTACCTCAAAGTATGTATTTAACCAGATGTTGATAATGCTGACATGAGTTTAGTTTTCGAAGAAACCGACAAACAAGATTTTCAATCAAACTCAGCAATTTTACTATTCTGTTTTACCATAGTTCCGAGAAGGCTTTTTGGCAAAACAATGATATTGGTCTGCCCTCAGTTGTATTTTCCAAAATACGGAGCAAAATAATGTTTTATTTTTGCAGGTATTGTTCTGACTTTGTAACTCATTGGGTATGTTCTTGTGAGTGAGATCTGCACTGATGTAATAGTCAAACATAGCACAACCAGGATCCTGAACACAGCACAGCCAGGATCCTGAACACAGCACAGCCAGGATCCTGAACACAGCACAGCCAGGATCCTGAACACAGCACAGCCAGGATCCTGAACACAGCACAGCCAGGATCCTAAACACTGCACAGCCAGGATCCTGAACACAGCACAACCAGGATCCTGAACACAGCACAGCCAGGATCCTAAACACTGCACAGCCAGGATCCTGAACACAGCACAGCCAGGATCCTGAACACAGCACAGCCAGGATCCTAAACACTGCACAGCCAGGATCCTGAACACAGCACAACCAGGATCCTGAACACAGCACATCCAGGATCCTGAACACAGCACAGCCAGGATCCTGATTTAACAAGGAGGAGGGTGCCAACACCTTCTGGCATGCCTGACGTCAGCCCTGCTAAGTTGTATTCCGGAAGTTGTGCAGTACGCTGGATGCCATGAAATGTTTCTCATGCAGATGCCATTTTCTTTCAACGTTGAATATATTTTTCATTTTTTTCTTGATAAGAACAAAACAATCAATCAACTATTAGCCCTTATCTTATGAGCATGCATGGTCATGCAATATGTGAACATCCCAATCTAATTGAATTGTACCAGCTGTGTACACTGTTATGACTCAAGAGTTCTTAAACTGGATGACAAGACAAAATAATTGGCCTGTTGGGTGCCTAGAGGGAGGGGCTGGGATCCTCATGATCAAAATAGTACAAGTGAGTGAGTTAAGATCTCGTTGTGGGAGTGAGTGTGTAACTATGGATTTTGCAACTTTTAGCAACATTCCACCACTATCACAGAAGGGAACACCAGAAATGGGCTTCACACATTGTACCCATTTTGGGAATAGAACCTGGTCCTTTGGCATCAGAAACGTTTTAACCACTATACTAGGCTACCCCACCTCCCCTCTTTGTGGGACAGTCACTGAGCAGGTAATAATTATGTAAGGGAACCCTCAACTTTCAGAGCTTTGAAGGCTGAGTATAGGCTGATAGAGCTGAGAAGGGGATGAGTATAGGCTGCTAGAGCTGAGGAGATGAGTATAGGGTACTAGAGCTGGGAAGATGAGTATAGGCTGCTAGAGCTGAGAAGGGGATGAGTATAGGCTGCTAGAGCTTAGAAGGAGATGAGTATAGGCTGCTAGAGCTGAGAAGGAGATGAGTATAGGCTGCTAGAGCTGAGGAGATGAGTATAGGCTGCTAGAGAGCTGAGATGAGTATAGGCTACTAGAGCTGAGGAGATGAGTATAGGCTGCTAGAGCTGAGGAGATGAGTATAGGCTGCTAGAGCTGAGAAGGAGATGAGTATAGGCTGCTAGAGCTGAGGAGATGAGTATAGGCTGCTAGAGCTGAGAAGGAGATGAGTATAGGCTGCTAGAGCTTAGAAGGAGATGAGTATAGGCTGCTAGAGCTGAGAAGGACATGAGTATAGGCTGCTAGAGTTGAGAAGGAGATGAGAATAGGCTGCTAGAGCTGAGAAGGAGATGAGTATAGGCTGCTAGAGCTTAGAAGGAGATGAGTATAGGCTACTAGAGCTGGGAAGGAGATGAGTATAGGCTGCTAGAGCTGAGAAGGAGATGAGTATAGGCTGCTAGAGCTTAGAAGGAGCTGAGTATAGGCTGCTAGAGAGCTGAGAAGGAGATGAGTATAGGCTACTTGAGCTGGGAAGGAGATGAGTATAGGCTACTAGAGCTGGGAAGAGATAAGTATAGGCTACTAGAGCTGAGGAGATGAGTATAGGCTACAAGAGCTGAGGAGATGAGTATAGGCTGCTAGAGCAGGGAAGGAGATGAGTATAGGCTGCTAGAGCTTAGAAGGAGATGAGTATAGGCTACTAGAGCTGGGAAGAGATGAGTATAGGCTACAAGAGCTGAGGAGATGAGTATAGGCTACAAGAGCTGAGGAGATGAGATTAGGCTGCTAGAGCAGGGAAGGAGATGAGTATAGGCTGCTTGAGCTGGGAAGAGATGAGTATAGGCTACTAGAGCTGAGGAGATGAGTATAGGCTACTAGAGCTGAGGAGATGAGTATAGGCTACAAGAGCTGGGAAGGAGATAAGTATAGGCTGATAGAGATGAGAAGGAGATGAGTATAGGCTGCTAGAGCAGGGAAGGAAATGAGTATAGGCTACTAGAGCTGAGGAGATGAGTATAGGCTACAAGAGCTGGGAAGGAGATAAGTATAGGCTGATAGAGATGAGAAGGAGATGAGCATAGGCTACTAGAGCTGGGAAGGAAATGAGTATAGGCTACTAGAGCTGGGAAGGAAATGAGTATAGGCTACTAGAGCTGAGGAGATGAGTATAGGCTACAAGAGCTGGGAAGGAGATAAGTATAGGCTGATAGAGATGAGAAGGAGATGAGCATAGGCTACTAGAGCTGGGAAGGAAATGAGTATAGGCTACTAGAGCTGAGGAGATGAGTATAGGCTACTAGAGCTGAGGAGATGAGTATAGGCTACAAGAGCTGGGAAGGAGATAAGTATAGGCTGATAGAGATGAGAAGGAGATGAGTATAGGCTGCTAGAGCAGGGAAGGAGATGAGTATAGGCTGCTAGAGCTGGGAAGAGATGAGTATAGGCTACTAGAGCTGAGGAGATGAGTATAGGCTACAAGAGCTGAGGAGATGAGTATAGGCTGCAAGAGATAGGAAGGAGATAAGTATAGGCTACTAGAGCTGGGAAGGAAATGAGTATAGGCTACTAGAGCTGAGGAGATGAGTATAGGCTACAAGAGCTGGGAAGGAGATAAGTATAGGCTGATAGAGATGAGAAGGAGATGAGTATAGGCTACAAGAGCTTGGAAGGAAATGAGTATAGGCTACTGAGCTGGGAAGGAGATGAGTATAGGCTGCAAGAGCTGGGAAGGAGATGAGTATAGGCTACTAGAGCTGGGAAGGAGATAAGTATAGGCTGATAGAGATGAGAAGATGAGTATAGGCTGCAAGAGCTGGGATGAGGGATGGAACGGTGTGTGTGTGTGTGTGTGTGTATGTGTGTGTGTGTGTGTGTGTGTGTGTGTCTTTTGTTAGACATATGCACTGGGATCTGTGAAACAAGCTAGTGTGTTGGCTCACTTTGAAAAGTGTTTCAGTAACATCATAGGGTCTCAACTTAATGAAGGATGAAAGCCTGCAGTGACTTATCACCTGGACATCTACCAGTGTGGGAAGTCAGTGCCACAGTCTACAGAACAACTGTACTGTAATGGCATGACTGGTGGGGGTCTAATCTGCCCAAAATACCTAGCCATATATTACCATAGAAACTGGGATAAATTCAAATCCCAGACATAGAGAACAAATGATTAAGTGGTGATCTCATCATTTATTGGGTCAACAAGAATACAATGTGTACCCTACCAGTGGGCTGTGGTGTCAACCTACAACTTTCCATGAATATTTCACGGTGAAATACAAATCTTCCACATGGACGGAAAGATAATACTGTCAGACTCGGTAGTCATTAGTCATCATATTTGGCCACACTACGTCATGCCATATGTGAATGTTATCACAGAACCAACAAAATATTGTCACAATTTTCAACATGAATTGTGACTACAAACATGCGCGCACGGATGGAATATTCATCTATATCATACTGTAAGATATGATTTTAAAAAATAATAAAATATGAACAAACTTTTGCACAAATGTATACCTCAGTCCTAAAAATATAATTAACGTCAAACAAATTTGATTGATCAAAGTGTATTGTTATTCTTAGATTTTGCTTAGGAGTTGTGAGGTGTTGATCAATACATCAATACTGCCTGACCATGGTAATATTGACGTGTAACATATGTCACTCTGCTGTCAATCATCTGATATAGACAAACAACAACAGCTGATGACATACACAACCATATCTATACATGGAAATATAAGCACGAAATACTTATCACTCCACAACAAAATCCATAATTTTTTATTAGATTAATAATACTGTCATCAGCAGTGCAGAAAAACCTTTGAAAAATTGATCACAAAGATCATGCTGTAGTTTCGTTCAGTAATGTAATGCTGAAAATCTAAAATAAATATATTCACAAAATGGAAGGTAGTTAAAAAAACGTGTACTTAATGCTAAAATCTTAAAACGTATTGGAAAACAGTAAAATTCTTGAAAATAATACTTTCAAAGTCACAAATACTTATTCAGGTTTTTCAAAATGATTTTAAGAGTGAGAAACTGACTTCAGAGCAATATATGACTACCAATGGTTTTGGCCCCACTGCTGTTGTGATGCACCTGGGCTAATACCTGCATCAGCCTTGATCCAGATAAGTCAATACAGGCCAAAATGGACTGAGGGTCGATGGGGGGTTGGAGTGACCACTGCAACCATTGTCCACTACGCCACAGCTGTCTGTAATTGAGGTCAGCCTGCCCCACAGCCTATAGACATTAACGACAGAGGTCCACAGATTGCTGCTAAATCTCTTTTTCTATACATCATCCCTACAGTCCAACAACTCCCGGCATCAAAATGGCAATGTTGTCAAGACTCAGTCATGCATAAATGACACAAGCAGTATTTCAGGTGGTAGACAGTCATTCATGTGTTCTCAACAGTGAAACTTTGGCAACACCAAGACAGTTAAAGACACAGCTTGCTGGTGACAATGTTCCATGGTGCTGCAGATGCTGCTGCTAGTGTAGGTGACCTTAGGCTGATCCCTTCTTCATCAGCTGGCAAGGTGTGCACCAACTGCTCCTGAATATACTCCACAACTCTCACACTATACCACATCCTTCCATCATAATAGCCCCCAAAACTGGGACATGTTTATGATCATTGACAATTCAACATTTTAAATCAAATTTCAGAACACAAGACTATCCAATGTTATGAATAAATATTTCAACTGAATTAACTTTGCAATGTTACATTAACAATATACCAGTAGTTAATCTAAATGGGAAAAATATGCCAATTAAAATATGTGTGTTTATGTTTAACCTGAAGCCAGAGTCGCTGAACCTGAACTCACAAAATAGCTGCTAGTAACTGAAGCATGACCTCTAGAGACTGAGGGTAGCGTCCCTCTGGGTGTGTCCATCTAGAAGTTAATGCTGTAGAACCTGTTGTCTGAGGGTAACATTCTGCATAGCAACAATTCTTACTGACTAACAGCAGTGTCAAAACTATCACAAGTTAGTGTAAATTACAATTTTAGCACTCAACAGCATTTCACTATAAATATACTTCAAATATATTTCACATTTCAATGAATAATAATAATTTATTTTATATACACAAAAAAACATATCACAGATGGGGTAAAACATTTTTCAATTCGTTATAAAAACGTGTAAGTAAATAGTTTGGAATTCCAACTGTAACACAAACAGTGGTCTGATGAGTGAATGCACAGTCCTGCACAGGTGCTTCAGTAGTTGAGGGCACACAGCATGGCCACGCCCTGTTTTATCCAGTGTCGAGAGTCCTTGTCACTGGGCAGCTCCACAGTAAACACAAAGTTGGTGGAGTGACCAGTAGTGGACAGAGTACCTGAAACACAAATATATTTCAGATATAAAAAAATACTGAGTGAGTGAGCCCCTTAACTGCCACAATGGTATGGTACATCTACATACAAGGGGTGCTGGGGATCTAACCTGTCTCCACATCCCCAACACCTGACATACAAGGGGTGCTGGGGATCTAACCTGTCCCCACATCCCCAACACCTGACACACATGGGGTACTGGGGATCTAACCTGTCCCCAAATCCCCAACAGCTGACACACATGGGGTACTGGGGATCTAACCTGTCTCCAAATCCCCAACAGCTGACACACATGGGGTACTGGGGATCTAACCCATCCCCAAATCCCCAACAGCTGACACACATGGGTACTGGGGATCTAACCTGTCTCCACATCCCCAACAGCTGACACACATGGGTACTGGGGATCTAACCTGTCCCCAAATCCCCAACAGCTGACACACATGGGTACTGGGGATCTAACCTGTCTCCAAATCCCCAACAGCTGACACACATGGGGTACTGGGGATCTAACCCATCCCCAAATCCCCAACAGCTGACACACATGGGTACTGGGGATCTAACCTGTCTCCACATCCCCAACAGCTGACACACATGGGTACTGGGGATCTAACCTGTCTCCAAATCCCCAACAGCTGACACACATGGGGTACTAGGGATCTAACCTGTCTCCAAATCCCCAACACCTGACACACATGGGGTACTAGGGATCTAACCTGTCTCCAAATCCCCAACACCTGACACACATGGGTACTGGGGATCTAACCCGTTCCCAAATCCCCAACAGCTGACACACTGGTACTAGGGATCTAACCTGTCTCCAAATCCCCAACAGCTGACACACATGGGGTACTGGGGATCTAACCCATCCCCAAATCCCCAACACCTGACACACATGGGGTACTGGGGATCTAACCCGTCCCTAAATCCCCAACACCTGACACACATGGGTACTGGGGATCTAACCCGTTCCCAAATCCCCAACAGCTGACACACTGGTACTAGGGATCTAACCTGTCTCCAAATCCCCAACAGCTGACACACATGGGGTACTGGGGATCTAACCCATCCCCAAATCCCCAACACCTGACACACATGGGGTACTGGGGATCTAACCCGTCCCTAAATCCCCAACACCTGACACACATGGGGTACTGGGGATCTAACCCGTTCCCAAATCCCCAACAGCTGACACACATGGGGTACTGGGGATCTAACCCGTCCCTAAATCCCCAACAGCTGACACACTGGTACTAGGGATCTAACCTGTTCCCAAATCCCCAACAGCTGACACACTGGTACTAGGGATCTAACCTGTCTCCAAATCCCCAACAGCTGACACACATGGGGTACTGGGGATCTAACCCATCCCCAAATCCCCAACACCTGACACACATGGGGTACTGGGGATCTAACCCGTCCCTAAATCCCCAACACCTGACACACATGGGGTACTGGGGATCTAACCCGTTCCCCAAATCCCCAACACCTGACACACATGGGTACTGGGGATCTAACCCGTCCCCAAATCCCCAACAGCTGACACACATGGGTACTGGGGATCTAACTCTTCCCCAAATCCCCAACAGCTGACACACATGGGTTACAGCAGCTCCACACGAGTACAACACAGACATATAAAAGGCACACCAGTACATTACAATACAGTGTACTTGTGTCCAGTGTTTACAGAACATATTTATGAACGAAAACTAACAACCATATCGAAAATGTCCATTAAGAAAATACATGAATATAACAATTTCACTTGGCTTAAATCATTTGTACCCAAGCATATACATTAAACCTCTTGAGTCGTACTCTGAACAGTTAGTATTGCCAAACATTTCCCCATAGAAAGCTAAATGTCTGGTCCTCCACTACTTTATATTTGATACAAGATTGCTATCTCACAGAGCTGCAGGGTGACTGACTGTCAACAGGTGGGTAAACAGCAGAGGAATGCAGCCACTGGAGTGAAGCATGGCTAGTGCATGTAGTCACTAGGTCATTGTACACCTACAATAACTTGCTACTTTGCTCACTGACATCACAAACAATTAGGCAAAAAATCAAATGTCGTACACTCAATTAAGTCCTTAGACGCAAATTGAGCCAATATCAATAAGTTCATTTTGGGCAACTCCCTTTAGTCATACTTTCTCCGACCTGTCGACAGCAGTGTAATTATCCGGGGAAGAAAGCAGTTCTCTTCAGGGGATGTCTCTTTGGGAACAATAACTTGCTTGTTCATGCACCAATACGTTACACAACCAAGCTGAAAATATCCTTTACAATTCCATAATAGTCTACAGTTACAAATAAACCATTATAACGTTAACTTACATTTTGGTAACGCCCGACTACAGTCCGTTTGACTCCAAATGAGAACGATGAATTGCAAAATAACTCGAAATCCAGAAAAGTGTATGAAACATCAATACGGTACTTGACCATGAATACCCTGTACCCAACAAAATCTGAATTTTGTTTAATTTAAGACCCATGACAGATGAAGTTTCTTTAAGAAACTATCATGTAATGTTGCATAGAAATGTGTACATGACACGTAGGGGGACAAACCGTGGAAGGAACAGCGCAAGCACGGTCTGCACGTGCTACACAGTGACTGTGTTCATTCAATGACAAGATGCGCTACTCAGCAGATGTTAAACAGTTGATGTTGAATGTGTATGATTTCTTTAGAAGTGAAGCAGAAAGAGCAAAGCCTTTTTATGCAATTAATAAATTCCTGAATCCAATCGAGTTGGTATGGGGCATCGTCAAGGGTGACGTTGGACGATTGAACACAACGTTCAAATTACGAGACGTTGAACAACTCGTAAAGGAATCCCTTGGTCGGATAACAGTAGAAACATGGAGGCGTTGTGTGGCCACAGTCGTTGACAAGATAGAGCCACGTTATTGGTCACGAGATGGACTACGGCCAGCAACAGTCCAACCTATAATAGTGGCAGTCGGTTCAGGCACCAGCAGTTCCGACGACGAGATCTATGGCATGAGCAAGTCAGATTGCGACTGAAATTATCATGAGACGGCCCCTCTAACGCTCTGTCATTTCCCCTAACACAGATTGTGCAGTGCATGCGTGCTTGCGCTGTGCCTTCCACGGTTTGTCCCCCCTACGTGTCATGTACACATTTCTATACAAAATTACATGATAGTTTCTTAAAGAACTTTATCTGTCATTGGTCTTAAAATAAAAAAAATTCAGATTTTGTTTGGTACAGGGTATTCATGGTCAAGTACCGTATTGATGTTTCATACACTTTTCTGGATTTCGAGATATTTTGCAATTCATCGTTCTCATTTGGAGTCAAACGGACTGTATATATTGGGGTCGGCCTTTTGCCCCATGAAGATTCAGGGTTGAATAGGTCTTCAGCAACCCATACTTGTCGTAAGATGCTTATAACGGGATCAGGTGGTCACGCTCGAAAACTTGATTGATGCAAGTCGGCATAGGTACTACAGATACTGGGGACAGCATAAGTACTAAAGGCATTGGGGTCAGCAGGTACTTCAGGTATTAGGGTCAGCATAGGTACTACAGGTATTGGCATAGGTACTACATGTACTGATGTAGGTATAGGTACTACAGATGTTGGGGTCAGAATAAGTATTACAGGTATTGGGGTCAGCATAGGTACTACAGGTATTGGGGTCAGCATAGGTACTACAGGTATTGGGGTCAGCAAAGGTACTACAGGTATTGGGGTCAACACAGGTACTACAGGTATTGGGGTCAGCACAGGTACTACAGGTATTGGGGTCAACACAGGTACTACAGGTATTGGGGTCAGCACAGGTACTACAGGTATTGGGGTCAACACAGGTACTACAGGTATTGGGGTCAGCATAGGTACTACAGGTATTGGGGTCAGCATAGGTACTACAGGTATTGGGGTCAACACAGGTACTACAGGTACATATTTGTTCAACCTGTTATATCAACCACAACAACTGACTTTTACTATGATTAACATGGATAAATAAACTGATGGGCGGAACTAGGAGACCCCAAAAATGTCCGTCTCATTAACAAAATCATATGACCTGGGATTATGTCTGCCAGCCCTGAACACGGCATTGCTCTATCCTCCCTACTGAAAGGACATCGCTATAGTAACTCTGGTGGCAACCTTTACACACTAAGCAAACAACCTCCCTGATCAAAATCAATAGTCTTCATTTTTGTTGCAGATGTAGGACAATGGGAAGATAATCCTGTGACCTTGAATCATGAAAATATCCCTCATCCATACGAGTTGTTAAACTGGTCCTACAGTGACAATCACTCACTTCACTATGTGTCCATCAAGTATGCTACTGATGACGTCCATTGACACTATTGAATCAAGATGTCTGTACCTACATTCATAACATATGGGCCAAGTACATCAATAAACACATCATGTGTAGCTGACCACACCTTCACTCCAGGCAGGCCCGGACTAACATGCTATCTCTCTCACGCTGTCTGGAGAAAACAGATTGTTGTTTACCAAATGTTCGTAAGGACTTCCATGGGGAAGTTGGGTTGTTATTGTCCTACTTCTAATGATGTGAATCTCTCAATATTGAATCTGTAACATGAGTGTTTTAACAAGGACTTTCAGGTAGTATGCAATATAATCCCAGTTGTGACTACTTAGTCTGGGACAATTATTGTCTTGTAAGTGAAGTTACGTACCGGTAAGTCCACACATTCTCATGATAATCTACAAACCAAAATGTCAGGGATGGTACGATGTATTTTCCTACCAAACCCTTGAAATAAGTCCATTAAGATAAATAAAACCAACAAGTTCTTAAACTATTTTCAATCAAACGAAGTTTTACAAATTATATTTCATATTAATAATATTTTTATACTATTGCAAAATATATTAGAGAAGATCCATCAGACAAGAAGCTCAATTGGTCTAGCCTCACATATACTACTCAAAACAAGTAAAGGACCACCTGATTTTGCAGCTTGCTATAGTTAATCTATCATGGCATGATTGACTTGAGTAGTATGAAAAAATCGGGTGGTCCTCAATGTTTGGGTTAAAGTATTAATACCTTAACTACACTGAACACAAACTGTTGCTACAGTGTAGACCGTACCGACCCAGCTCTTATCATTGACAAATATAATAACATGCTCCTAAATCAACACACACAGAAACTGCAATTTCATGTCTCAAATAAATCTACTAAAATGTACCAAATTTATCTCTATTAGTTATATGTGGCCCTCGAGACAGACGTGCATGGTCATGATCTCTCAAGTGGCTGAATATTACACAAATAACATGATGTGCTGATAGAGAAGTGTGTTGATGACGTTCTCTTACATGGACGTGGATAAGATTGCTACATGACAACACATAATCCGTCAACTTATCAAACTTCGACACCTGCATGTGAAAGCAACAACAGATAAGGATTTACTTTGTTTTCCAAAACTAAACATCAAAAATGTCAACAGTTTACAATAAATCACTAACCTTCTAATTTAGCCTGATTAGAATTACAGTCACAACCTGGGTCTTTTGAAGTGAGTGAGATATTGTTTGAACAGTATTTAGGACATAAACAGTCATTGTTTTCAATGTAGTGTTAAATTTAACATTTGAAACCTAACCCACATGTTATGAGCTACATTAAATTTAGCAAGGATAAACCTACAGGTAACCTACCTCTACAACTCATTTTATTACATACAGTTGTACAGCCAGTTGTACAGCCAGTTGTACATACAGTTGTACAGCCAGTTGTACATACAGTTGCACATACAGTTGCACATACAGTAAACTATGGTTATAACAAACTCAAAGGGACCACTAATTTTAGTTGATTATAAATATAGTTTGTTGTAAGCATATATGCAGCATATATACAGCAAAAGGCCGGAACAAAAAAACAAACATGTCATCGTATCCCAATTGCGTGGATTGATGCTCATGATATCAATCACTGGATTGTGTGGTCCATACTCGATTATTTACGGACCGCCGTCATATAGCTGGAATGTTGCTGAGTGTGGCGTTAAACAGTCAAACAAAAGACAAAATATCCAAACAGTGTTTTATATCCATCTATTCATTATAAGCGTTTTCGTTATAAATGTAGTTTACTGAATTTGTTTCTTTGAAATCAGCAATACAAATATTGTTGTTAACTTATCAATGTATTAAACATGCCTTGTGAATTACCTGTAGAGAGTAATCTGTGAGTACTGCCTCTCCATGTGTACATTATACTATATATATACAGGCAGTACAGTATTGAGGAGAAAAGACCATGCTGAAGTCTGCTGATACATGTCATTATTTCAACATGCCTACTGACAATGATTAAGAAAGATGAACTTTTCTATAAATATTAGCGCTGACAGTGATATCGCCATCAAAGCCCTGTTTCAATCAGAGGGGGACAGTTTTTGCAAAAAACCTTTGATTTGTTTTGTTTGTTTGTTGTTTAACGCTGCACTCGGCAATATTCCAGCTATATGACGGCGGTCTGTAAATAATCGTGTCTGGACCAGACAAGCCAGTGATTGACATCACGAGCATTGATCCACACATTTGGGATACAATAACATGCATCAACCAAGTCAGCGAGCCTGACCACCCGATCCCGTTAGTCGCCTCTTACTACAAGCATAGTTGCCTTTTACGACAAGCATGGGTTGCTGAAGACCTATTCTACCACGGATCTTCACGGGTCAAAAAAGTTTTGAGTCTTCTAGCCTACACGTGTCTGTAGTATCATGTTTAGTTCATTTTAGTGTTATCATATTGATATTATTAACTGAGCTAACTAGATGGGACAGAATTGTACTAGACTAACAGCTTCAACTAGTAGCTAATGTTGCATAATGTGTTAGGTGCAGTGATTTGAAACCTCTGATTGGCTGGTCAGAGTCACTGGGGAACCAATGACTGTGGGTGTGGTGGTAACAGGTCAAGGGTCAGGATCAGGTTAAGTCCAACCAGCTGAGCCTGACATGGCAAAGGGAGACAACTGTACATTGACTTACATCACAGGGTCACCTTGCCGCCCAAACTATTATTCAGTTTCAAACCACAAATAATGCTGCACAGACATATTAAGTCATTTCCTGTATCAATACCTAATACCTTGCCAAGATCATATCAATAGTTGTTCTTGGCACATCATGAATAGGACATTAATTTTTAGAAAAATATGTTTTTGAAAAATAAATCATAAATATTTTAGGTAACTCCTATCAATATCAGATTCAAAAGTAAATGTCACCAACATTCTCATATATCTCATTTATGTAATGTAACACGTATGTCCTGATCGAAAAAAGGATTATTTCACTCAAGTTAGGTCCCATTACCCATGATCCTTCTGAAACTGATATTTTCATGTTCAGGCGTGGATCAAAGGGAAGATTTGATATCCTACTTTTAGCAGAATGGAGAATGTCACGCATGGAGGACAACACGTACCCATGAGAGAACTGATTACAGCATGATGGATAAACACGCCTTAACCACGAGGCCACCTTACCCCCTATTCTCAACTCACAGGGGATATGTTATACTCTGATGACATAATCCTGCAGGCTAGCCTCCAGGAAGCAAGTACGAGTGATGTCGTTGTGAGGCAGCGGCTGCTTTGTGAGGGTGTACAATGATGACTGGTTCAGGTCTGTGTCTTGGGAAGCAATATTCCAGCTACATGACAGTGCCTCTAAATAATCGAGTCTGGAGACAATCCAGTGATTGACATCATGAGCATCAATTCACGCAATTGGGACACGATGACATGCATCAACCACGTCAGCGAGCCTGAACACCTGATCCCGTTAGTCGCCTCTTATGACAAGCATAGTCACCTTTTACATGTCGGTATTACATAATGGGAGTAACAGTAGTAACACTTCCATGTCTCTGTCGTCTCACCAAGTGGTCTTGGATCAACTTTAGTCCCATGTCTACTTGTATATTAAACAATGAAAGTTACATTAGTCAAATCTGGAAGTCATGAAAATTATCAGAGTTGGAAGATCAGTTAATATGATTTCCTCATGAAGAGGGGCAAAGGAAGACAATATTTCCAGGGCTTTATTTCACAAAGTCCTTGAGTTGTGAAGATCCAGGGTAGAAGTAGTCTTCAGCAACCCATGCTTGCCGTAACAGGCGACTATGCTTGTAGTAAGAAGCGACTAACGGGATTGGGTGGTCAGACTCGCTGACTTGATTGATGCATGTCATCATATCCCAACTGCGTAGATTGATGCATATGATGTCAATCACTGGAATATCTGGTCCAGACTTGATTATTTACAGACCGCTGTCATATAGCTGGAATATTGCTGAGTGCGGCGTAAAACAATGAACAAACAAAGTTTTATGTTAAACTTTGAGAGTTGTGACAGTATCGCTGCTACAATCACTTTCAAAAATGGGTCAAATAAAGACAACATTTCTAAAAAGGCTAAAGCTTCCCATGTTGTCTTAATCCAGGAATAGACATCTAGTGCTCAGTTCATTAATCAGGTATAACCAATATACTTGTTAACCCCAGGTGACCTATCTAGTACAGTGACGCCTGGGGTGGTGATACTCCTTAACTCTGTGATAATCAGACAGGCCACTTCAAAGGGATAATGGTGTCAAGAAGCAGTCTTTAATGAATGGGATTAAGGGCTATGTGAGGTCACTGCAGGTATTGAGACTCTGCCTGCTGGAGGCAGTTTTCAAAGCCTGTGGTTAACTGTACCTAGTCTGTAACCCTGGCAGGCAGTGGTGCATGACTGCATGAGGATTAGTTAACAAGAGTTTGATGATGTACAACTTCACAGATTATGGTCTCAATGCTTGATGGTATTGGCAATACGCTGCAGTGTCTGCATTCCCACCAACTGTGTAAGTGCCGCCATGATGTGTGTAGTATTGTGTTGTTGCGGTGATCTCAGTTAATGACCCGTGACCAAATGGATTAACGTCATGCAGTAATGTCAGGTTAATGGAGCTGGGCTTGTTTGTGAGGCGATCTCATAAAACTTTACGAGATATTTGTTTTAAATAAATATGTCACTAACAGTCCTACATTCTTGATTAGTTGGAACATGAAACTGAGAAAGGACAGGTGTCATCATCATCATCATCATCATCATCACAACCATCATCATCATCATCATCATCATCATCATCATCATCATCACAACCACCACCACCACCACCACCACCATCATCATCATCATAGTGACAACTGCTATCATCAACACCACCATCATCATCATAGTGACAACTGCTATCATCAACACCATCATCATCATCATCATCGTGACAATTGTTATCATCAACACCACCATCCTTATTTAGATCCCTTCTTTAACATCATAACTATGACAATCATGACAATCCTCCCCGACCCACCTGCTCGTGTGAGTGTCTTGTACACAGGGCACTCATAGATCCCGCTTTCCTTCGGCTTCCGGTTGGGGAAAGGCTTGAGCCAGATGACTGGGACATCAGTGTAGAGTTCCTTTGGCCGAGACTCCGTGAGGGTGTTGCTGGTGTAGTCCCACCTGGCGCCCTCTAGGAACAGACCTCGGATGTAGCAACCGTCTTTTGGCGACTCCGTGAGCTCTGCATACGACTCTCGCATAATCTGATTGAAAGAAATGTCATCTTAATGTGGTGGAAAGGCCAAAATGATGCAGGTCTCAGACATATACCACTTTGGTGAAACCTACAAGAACGGGTATGGTACAAAGAATGATAAGATATGTTGACATATTTTATATAAAAAACACAAGGGGGGGATTCCATTTACCATCCAAAATCATTCTTCCAACATTTTTCTGTTTGTAAACAGTAAAAACCAGTGTCTTGTAGCCAGTGTAAAAAAGTACACCTGACCAGCTTCAGAGGCAGAGAGATTAGAGATGTCATTTGATTGTGACATCATGGTAACCCATTATGTCACAATGGTCTGCAAAGCAAAGTGATGCGATTTCATTTTATCACCCAAGCGATATCTCCTGAGGAAGCCAGTTTTGGATGATAAATATGTTTCTAATCCATATCACTGGTAAACAATCAACACATTTACATAAACACATGACAAGCAATGGGAAGGTATCATTGAAAAAATATCATAAAATGTGGAAAGCTATTTCCATTCTGCTTATTAACCTTTGTTTATTTTGTTTATATGGTTACATATAATGTGTAGAGATGCATTGTCGTCATCATCACTGTTACAATTGTGGTAAGATAAGTAACTCATTATGCAAAACAATCTGCAAATTGCACTGAAAGACTTCTAACAGCAAGGTCTTATTTCAGTATTTGCGAGTTTGTTTATCACCAAAAGAAAAGTCACATCACATGCAAATTAGCTTGTGGCAGTGGTGTAGTGCTAGGTCCTCACTGTGCAGGCATGAGAGACAAAAGTCGACATACATCCGACTAGGTTTCAGGGCTGGCACAAAGACAAACAAAGTTCCTTACCTCGAAGTCAAAACTGATGGTGTCGATGGAGATGACCTTCCTCCTGGCAAAGTTCTGCAGTGTTCCGGTGAGGAAGGCTTGTGGGAAGAAGAAGCCGGAGATCCAGAACACCTAGCACAGAACCCAGAGCATGTTAAACACAGAACATCACAGAGAGGTCATACAGCTGCATGTAGACTGTGCATTATCAAGCAGATGCAGTCTGCAAATTGACCACCTTTTGAAAGCCTGAGTCTAGTAAAACTTCTTTTAGCCTGGTAAATTCAGACTATTTTTAACCTTGGTTTATGAATCCGAAGACTTCAAACAACTGAAAATATGAAATAACCTAAAAGTAACACGTAAACAATAAACTCATTTACTGTCCCTATCAATATTTTCAATTATTTAAAATTCTAGAATAAAAACCGTCCTCAAAACCCAATAAATCATGACAAATCCCTATGTGCCCCCACTGTTTTTTCTACCTACAGAATATTTTGAAGGAATCACAAAAAAATATAGAAATCCATTTTTTCAACCCACCGAACTCAATTTGTTTGCCTAAAATCCATACTCCCCCCACAACCCAACTCCAAAGTCTGGCCTAAGCTGACACTAGTTCACGAACTAACACTAAAATCACCTGAAAATGACACTAAGAGAGAAGTTGGGGACAGTAGATATAATACTGTATTGTTTTGACTGCAGATGCATAAATTGGGCTAACAGTCCAGCAAATTAAATGACCTTATTCTATGTAAAGAATCTGAATAAATATGAGTTTTCTAATTAACTCTGATGTTTCAAGATATAAACACAGATGTCAGATTTCGCACTGTAAGGATACTTTTTCTACAGGAATATGAACAGCTTTTGGAATATCTTACTGGAGGAATGCCATTGTCGATCCAGTCAGTGATGAACTCCATCCGAGAACACAGGTCCAGCACCCAGGATGCAAGAGGCTTCAGTGAGGGGTAGGCCTGGAACAGTCAAGTACATACTCAGCATATTCAAGAGGGGACATAACAGCTCTACTGGCAACATGGTATATGAAGAAACAGGTACATCTAGTATTTAGAAATTACAAAAGACACATCATCAGGTGTATATACAAGCCGACTGAACCCTTTTGTTGACTCCAGTCCTTCAGGGATTCTGGGACAGAAGATGGCTCTAGTTATAGTTGACACATCCTGATCAGAGCCCGTTCAAAAGAGCAATCTTAGTGCTATGACTGGTGAGTGAGTGAGTATGATATACATTGCCTTTAGCAATATCCCATAAATATCAAGGCAGGACATCAGAAATGGACTTTACACATTGTACCAATGTGGGGAATCGAACCAGGGTCTTTGGCATGACAAGTGAACGCTTTAACCACTAGACATCCCCACCGCCCGCTACGACTGGTGTAAGTCAATGTGAAAGGATGGGAGTTATGATTGTCTTAGCTCTAAGATTGCTTTGTTCAATGGGGCCCAGGGGGGTATGACCTGGCTGATTGCCTGCCTGCCTGCCCATGGCTGGTACCTTTTCTGTTGGGCTGCATAAAATTTTCTTCCACTTGCCCAACTATCTGGCAGATAATTTTAAGATAATGTATTCAGTTCTATTATAACTGTAGATTCTTAAGTAATTCTCTGCATTATTTCAACTGAATCAAGACATGATTTGTCTCTTTGTTTTTGCGATTTTTCAATATTTAGAATGTCTGAAGTGGGGTGGTTACTTTGAAGATTGGCAGGCAACAGTTATGGGTCACCTGTCCGACTGTCTTGTTGGGTTTTCAAATTATTTCGAACACTGCTGATTGTCCCCCAATCGCCATGACTAAACCACTCATCTTGTCATCCACTGGTTTGTATAGCCAAGACTTGATTATCTACAGGCAGCTAGATTACCCTATTCCGGATACCTTCCACCTTGGTGCAGATGTGCACAAGCTTCTTCCTTCGTTCATCAACCACCATTTTTAGCTGTCATGCTAAATTGACAGGAGGTTTGAAGGGCTTGCTCCGCACACAAAACATGGATTTAGAAAAAGGGCTGCGTTTGGAAAAACTATGACTGTGTTCAGTTCTCAATGGTGAAGTCTTCTTACCTTGCCTGCCCACATGGAGGGCACCACGTTGTTGTAGAGGGAGTTGGCCATGTTCTCCAGCTCCTGGGACATGACCACCAAACCCTTGAGAGCCTTCAGCAGGTCCTTCAGTGACTGGTTGATGGTGTTCAACAGACGGTTGTACCTGCAGCACACACAGGGGGTTACATCAACAATATCCAGGAACACCTCTCATAACTGGCATTACATTATGTAAAGAAGTTCCTGCTGGAAAACATGCTGGCAAGAAAAGTCTGATGAAAAGACAGAGGTGTTACAGACGCCTCTGTGTTCACTGTAAGAGGTGAGGTGAGGTGAAATTGGGTTTAACGTCGCGTCCAAGATTATTGCACTTATATAGCGACGTGCATGCACGTGTATGTGTGTGTGTGGCTGCTTGTACTAGTCCGGACTGATGCCGATTTATAGTGCTAGCTCACTGAGATACCATGCCGCAGTTTAACATGAATACCCCACTCAGACACAGTATACTGACTCCGAGCCGACCAGTCCTTGTTTTAGCCCCTTAATGCCGAGCGCCAGACAGGGTAACAACAAGTACAATCTTTTAACGTCTTTTTGTATGACGCGGCCCGGGATCGAACCCTGGACCTTCCGCTCTCCGGGCGGACGCTCTACCACAAGACCACGGAGGCGGTCTTCACTGTAAGAGGGATACCCAGAGAAATGATTCGGGTAGGTGGTCAAGTGGTCCAGGATGCTCCATGTCTTGCAGAGTTAGCCACCGGTGTTTCTGGGTTTGAATATCAGATTCATCCTGATGTTATGTGATACTTGGTGTGGCAGCACATTACCCATGCTGACGGGTCAATTGTAACAGTCTGACACAATGGCTCAAAGGGTCTTGACCACTCCCCCTTTTTGAAGACCTTGTGTCTCTCTGTTATCCAATACGTTTAGACAGGGAAAATTCCAAACATTGACCCATTTTTGAAATATCCTCAATCCATCCTTGTTTAACATGTATTACTTTAGCCTTTGCCAAACTTTGAACTGACACTGTGGAAGAGATATACTGTTTAACGGAAACTCAACTCTGTGACCCCACAACTGACCTGATGACCTCCTGGACCAGCACAGTGTTCATGCTCTGTTCATACAGGACAGGGTACTTCTCCATCACAGGGCCTATTGGCAAAGCTGCAGGAACCTGGCTCAGGATGTTCTTGGCTGTGTCCTCCATCACCTGGAACATTCAAACCCAACAGATGCAGCTAAACATGCAATATCAACATTTGTAAAAGCACCCCTAAAACTTTTGGAGAGGAGTAGAGTGGTGTGGAGTGGAGTGGAGAGGAGTGGAGTGGAGTGGAGTTGGATTTAAACCTACAATCATAGCAACACAACGCTGCACAGGGAAATGCGGCACCTTAGATGACTTGGCAGACCGTGCCCCTTACTGTTACCTGTCCGAGTAGGGATAACATATAAGGACACCCTTAAAAAGCCAGATTTTATACCAGACCTCAAGGTACCTTTACTATTAGACGACTTGGTGCAGCAAGTCACAGCAACAATCTATCCAAGACTAACTGAACACTGGAAGGGCACAAATTGGCCTACTTCTCACCTCTTCCCGGGATTTGCCTCCTCCAGCCTTGGACTTAGGCTGGAGCTGCAGGAGACCGGTCAACAAGAATAACGTCTCTGCCTGAGCGAAGGTGATGTTGGCATTGTCATGGAGGCCGAAGATTTCCGGAGTGTCGTTGATGGGCAGGCTACGTATAAATGCTGTGTAACCCTGGGGAAGGAATACAAGATATTGTACTTGGAGCGTTGTACATCTTATGTAGGGTTATATGCATTATGACCTTGACCTTTGTTAATGAAGAATGGTATGCAGTGGAGAAAATATTGCAGCCATCTGGTTTCATCAAGTTTCTTTGAATTTGCCGCTTAGATTTTGTTTCTTTCTGTGACAGAAACACATGAATATACCTTAAAGATTTAATATTTTTAATGGATAAATTGTCAAATGACTTTAGCTCAAAGTAAGAAATTATGTGGTTTGAAACAAAATCTTTAAATCATTCAATCAATATTTCTTTTAACCTGGAATTGCAACTGAACATTGTTGTAGTTTAAAATGGCACATTAAAATATTTTGACTGATGATAGATGTCTATGCAAGTTTAGAACAAACATCAGTAACAAGTTATGAAAGCATGTGCAAGTATTACTGCAATGGAACAAAGAGATTGCAAGCTTCGCTATCAAGTAATGAGTTTTACTTTAAATAGTAACATATCTTGCATCAGCAATATCAGCAGCCATGACACACACACACAAGAACTAACTACACACGCATTGGGGACTAACAGTATTCCAGTTATATCGCGGCGTGTTAGTGTGATGTGGGAGGAAAGCCCAAAGTGATGCAGGCCTCAGACGTTCACCACTTCGGTGAAACCCACGAGCACGGATATGGTGCCGACAAACATAATCGGGGCGAACCAGGATTCGAACCCTCAATCATAGGTTTCTGGCGTGCCCATAGGACGCAACTCTGCACAGCCAATTGTGGTGCCTTAGACAACTGGGCCACCCGTGCCCACAGATAGCCCAGGACCAAGTGTGTTAGTTTACTGCACATAAAGTCTGGGTTTTCGCCCGTCCTTGGTGGTCCACTCGTGAATGTAGCCCTGACTGCCTACATCAGCAATAAACTGCTATTTGTTCACTGACACATATGGTAAATAACATTCATCGTCTCATAGGTTGGAGTGAGTGAGTGAGTGAGTTGGGTTTAACGCCTCTTTTAACAGTATTCCAGTTATATCGCGGCGTGTCAGCTTAATGTGGGAGGAAAGCCCGAAGTGATGCAGGTCTCAGACGTTTACCACTTCGGTGAAACCCACGAGCATGGGTATGGTGCTGACAAACCTAGAAACATAATTGGGGCGAACCGGGATTCGAACCCACAATCATAGGTTTCTGGCATGCCCAAGGGACGCAACTCTGCACAGTGAATAGCGGCGCCTTAGACGACTTGGCCACCCGTGCCCCCCTCATAGGTTGGAAGTAACAGATAGGCCACATCAATTCTTTTACTTAGGTCAACTTTCCTTGCATATTCTATCAGACCCCCCAAAATGTCTCTCTATCTCAGAAGCATATGCTAGCTGAAACTCACCCATATAGATTACTGTCCTCTTAAATTAGCCTGCACAAATATAGTTCTGCAGGCATGAATACAAACTATAGATATAGATGTATTAATAGACCCTGGCAATAATCCCAGCTGTTCGCTGCATACTATCACATTCATTACTTTCACTTGTAGATCTAGAAATTCCATAGCATGTGAATTAAACATGGCTGGTGGCAAGCTTCCCCATCTCACAGCTGGCTGTCAACTTATTCTACTCCGAGCTGGAAGGGATGACAGAGGCCGGAACAATTAATCGTCATACATAAGCGGATGTTACAAAACCATTGAAGATGGAAATGTGTGCCATTGCCATGGCATCCATGTCAGATTTGGCACGGAATCGACATTGTTTGTTTGTTAGTTTTGTTGTTTAATGCCGCACTCAGAACTCAGCAATATCCAAGCTCTATGACAGCGGCTATAAATAATTGCGACTAGGCCAAACAATCCAGTGATTGATATTGTGAGTGAGTGAGTGAGTTGGGTTTAACGCCGCTTTTAACAGTATTCCAGTTATATCACGGCGTGTCAGCTTAATGTGGGAGGAAAGCCCGAAGTGATGCAGGTTTCAGACGTTTACCACTTCGGTGAAACCCACGAGCACGGGTATGGTGCTGACAAACCTAGAAACATAATTTGGGCGAACCGGGATTCGAACCCACAATCATAGGTTTCTGGCGTGCCCAAGGGACGCAACTCTGCACAGGGAATCGCGGCGCCTTAGACGACTGGGCCACCCGTGCCCCCGATTGATATTGTGAACAACGATCCATGCTGCGTGGGTATAATGACACACAATCAACCAGCCAGTATTGGTTGCAGGGGACCTGTTCTAACACGGGAATGTAGCAACCACTGGAGTGAGCGAGGATTGTTTTACACCAATTTTAGCAATGTTCCATCCAGATCAGGGTGGGGAACACCAGTACATACATTACATACATGTTCCGTTCTAAAATTGTTATCAACCAAACCAAACATTACACTGCAGAAAAACAGCTTGACTATCTCACACTCTATACTAGCAAACACACAAAAACACAAAGTATATAGTTAGGTGAAGCATTTGCCTCACCAAGTCCACAGCCCATAAGATAAGTGTGATGCAGTCAGGACTTATTGCGTGGGAAGTAAGTGAAAGGTTGTATAGGCCAACATAATACCGTGGAGGGATCAGAGACCTACATGATCCTGTGGTAGGATGACAGGGACCTACATGATCCTGTCGTGGGATCAGAGATCTATATGATACTGTGGTGGGATGACAGGGACCTATATGATCCTGTGGCGGGATCAGAGATCTATATGATCCTGTGGTGGGATCAGAGATCTACATGATCCTGTGGTGGGATCAGAGATCTATATGATACTATGGTGGGATGACAGGGACCTATATGATCCTGTGGCGGGATCAGAGATCTATATGATACTGCGGTGGGATCAGGGACCTACATGATCCTGTGGTGGGATCAGAGATCTATATGATACTGTGGTGGGATGACAGGGACCTATTTCATCCTGTGGTGGGATCAGAGATCTATATGATCCTTTGGCTGGATCAGAGATCTATATGATACTGTGGTGGGATGACAGGGACCTACATGATCCTGTGGTGGGATCAGAGATCTATATGATCCTGTGGTAGGATGACAGGGACCTACATGATCCAGTGGTGGGATCAGAGATCTATATGATACTGCGGTGGGATCAGGGACCTACATGATCCTGCGGTGGGATCAGGGACCTACATGATCCTGTGGTGGGATGACAGGGACCTACATGATCCTGTGGTGGGATGACAGGGACCTACATGATCCTGTGGTAGGATCAGAGACCTACATGATCCTGCAGTGGGATCAGGGACCTACATGATCCTGTAGTGGGATCAGGGACCTACATGATCCTGCGGTGGGAACAGGGACCTACATGATCCTGTGGTGGGATCAGAGACCTACATGATCCTGCGGTGGGATCAGAGATCTACATGATCCTGCGGTGGGATCAGGGACCTACATGATCCTGTGGTGGGATCAGAGATCTATATGATACTGTGGTGGGATCAGAGACCTACATGATCCTGTTGTGGGATCAGAGACCTACATGATCCTGCGGTGGGATCAGAGATCTACATGATCCTGCGGTGGGATCAGAGATCTACATGATTCTGTGGTGGGATCAGAGATCTACATGATTCTGTGGTGGGATCAGAGATCTATATGATACTGTGGTGGGATCAGGGACCTACATGATCCTGTTGTGGGATCAGAGACCTACATGATCCTGCGGTGGGATCAGGGACCTACATGATCCTGCGGTGGGATCAGAGACCTACATGATCCTGCGGTGGAATCAGAGAGACCTACATGATCCTTAGGGATGTTCGACATAACTGGTATATCGATTTATTGCAATATGTTCGCCAGCAGTACACAAATCACAATACAACCCTTGTGTATTGATATTTTCCGATACAGTCAGAGAAGAATTAAATAGAATTATATAAATTATATCTACTTTCTTGTGGCATTTGGATTGACTGGGTTCCTTTCTACTCATGTTAACAGAAACCCACTTCAGTGTTTACATTACTGTATTCGACTTAATAAGCATCCCGCCCTAATAAGTGCCCAGGGTGATATTTCCTAATATATTGGCTAGTGAACAATCCCAATTAATACCCTTCCGATTGATCAAGGTACACAAGACTTTTTTATTTGTGTATAATACGCACTCGTGTGTGATAAGCACCCTTAATTATGGGCAATTGAATTGTGATTCACATAGATCTCTGCACCACAGGGTCCACAAGTACAAGGGGAGGTAAGTCATGTGCATCACATATTTACATTATGGTCCTGGGAGGGGCTGATCTGCCTGTAGACACCGCTGGGGGAGTAGACGTGGTCCTCGTCCAGGATCTCAGGGTTGTAGAAGTCGTTGAGGATGTTCATGAGGGTGCGTCTGTCCCAGTCATCTGTCACACGACCTCCATAGTTGATGTGACCAGCAGTGTACCGTAACACCTGCAATACAAGTCCACACGATCCCATTAGTCTTCAATAAACAGTAATAATAATGGCACATCCTCAAAACAAGTCTTTAAAAATGGATCATACCTTAATGTGGCTGGTAATGTGCAACCATACCCAAATCATTGCTCATGCTATCAACCACTGGTCCGCCTGGCCCAAGAAAATTATTTATTATAACATAGTTTTCATTCTGTGATTTTAAACAGTATTCGCTTACTCACAATCTTTTTTATATAATATGTCAGATTTTGTCAAAAAACATTAACATAAAACCACGATATATCAACAAATTTGATGTTTATTGACGAGATCATATTTTTCAATTGGTTTAGATTTTTAAGTAAAACGTAAAATTAATTGCTGATGTCAAGAGTTTGTACTTGACAAAGTTGAAGAGTGCAAATTATTGACAGTCTGTGTTTGAAAGTCAGCAAAACACATAGTATAGGTATGATGTACCAGCTGTGCCGACATCCATATATTGATTACAGCAACACCTTGTCGTTTGTTGAAGGAATTGATTTCTCCTACCTACTGATGATCTGATCAAAATACACTGCACATACCAGCACATGGAGGTGGAAAAATACAGTCAACGTACCACACCTTTTTCATGTAAATGTAATCAAACTTCAAACTGAAACTCCTGATCAGAAATAGACAAAGATGCATAAAAGATCACAATCATAATCCTTTGATACAATAACTTCCCAAACAGTACAACCCCATTAATCCAGACACTAGTCTTACCAGTGAATTCATCCAGATCAACGAATGCCCTGATTAACAAGTCATGGTTACAAGGGGAGGTCCAACTGTATACATGTAGAAATTATGTCTATCAAGGGTTAGAAAGTAATTTTTATTTTCATTATTCGCAAAAATGTTTGTTTTTTTCTTTGTTGTTTAACGCCGCACTTTGCAACATTCCAGCTATATGACGGCGGTCTGTAAATAATCAAGCCTGGACAAGACAATAGAGTGATTGACATCATGAGCATCAATCTACACACTTGGGATACAATGACATGCATCAACCAAGTTTGCGAGCCTGACCACCTGATCCCGATAGTCACCTCTTACAACAAGCATAGTTGCCTTTCTCAGCAAGCATGGGTTGCTGAATACCCATTGTAACCCAGATCTTCACGAGACCCCCCAAAATGACCTGCTTCAGAGTTCCTATTTACCGAAAGGTAAACGTGGTAGTCAACAAGGAAAAGTCACTAGTCCTTCTGGAATTTGACTAGTTTTAGTCCTTCCTGAATTTGACTAGTTTTAAACCAGCAGAATTGTGTTAATTTCAAATGCTGCCAGACATACAAGGCAGGGTTAGGGGACAAACAGAGTTTCACTGTATAAAAAAACAATAACGACATGTTTAATTTTCTCCTTAACAACAAATGGGCAATGACATACTATATGGTTATTGCATCATGTACAGCTAAATTAAGGACTCAAACCCACAGATGGTGGTAATTTATAACTTACATTTGTCTTAATTTCCTCCTAGCTACAGTGACAGATCTTAGGTGTGCCATAGAACAAAGTCCCCACTAATATTCAACAACAAAGCAGTCCAAATATATGTGTCCTTGTTCATACTTATTGTATCGCACATGGCATTGTTTGAGTATAAGGTAGTATTGATTATTTGGAAGGAACGTTCCTGCCCTGCCCACAAAGCCTCCGGTGAAGAACATGTGGGTTGGTCATGCTTCTTGGCCCTGTCTGCCAATACCCCGGTCTGATCAATGAGGCAACATGTGCTGACCAACTGTCGCCCATCACTACCCAGCAATTACACTTACTACACTTGGCCATGTAACTTGAGCGATTTCTGGCTTCCCTCGCGGTGGTATATACATACATGAGTTACTAGTGTGCCACATGGATTTAATACTAGTGTGGCTCATGAATACTTGTGTTTCATAAATACTTGTGTTACATGAATACTTGTGTCACATGAATACTTGTGTCACATGAATATTTGTGTCACATGAATACTTGTGTCACATGAATACTTGTGTCACATGAATATTTGTGTCACATGAATATTTGTGTCACATGAATACTTGTGTCACATGAATACTTGTGTCACATGAATATTTGTTTCATGAATACTTGTCACATGAATACTGGTGTTACATGAATACTTCTGTGCATCATAAATACTTGTCACATGGATACTTGTGTCTTATGAATATTTGTGTCACATGAATATTTGTGTCACATGAATACTTGTGTCACATGAATATTTGTTTCATGAATACTTGTCACATGAATACTGGTGTTACATGAATACTTCTGTGCATCATAAATACTTGTCACATGAATACTTGTGTCTTATGAATATTTGTGTCACATGAATACTTGTCACATGAATACAAGTGTTACATAAATACTTGTGTGCCTCATAAATACTTGTCACATGAATACTTGTGTTGCATGAATACTTGTGTCACATGAATACTTGTGTTCTTACTGGCATACAATCGTATCTATACTTTAACCGTGAAAACTGGCAAACATCATTTCAATATCAGGGAAGAATAGAACAGGCATACCCCATATCAATGAGGAACACTGCTCTACACCATCTCAACACAGTCTGAAACAAGTCTAGTTAATTGTCTTGTGGTCTTGTATAACATTAAGCTTAGCTTGGGACAGCCTAAATACAGGTATTAAAATCTGAATTGACGAGGACTCCAACAGTTTTGATATAGACTAGCAGTATTCCCTAAGATGATAATCTCGCTCAATGAATATTAGAGGTTAGCTGTGTGTATTGTTTCACACCTGGAATGGATTTCACACATTAGATCTAAGCAGGTACTAATTTTTGCGTGACCATCAAACACTTTAATCACTACAGAGACCAATCTCCCCAATACTAGAGCATACTGATGATGACCACCCATGGGCTGGTGTCTTTGTACCCCAGTCATATCATGCAGGTCTGTAACTATTCAAGTCAGGGCCAGACAAACTAATGGTTGATATCATGATGACCACCCATGGGCTGGGTTTTTGATGACATGCAATGAACCTGACCACCAAAAACACTTGGGTCATCCCTTACGACAAGCAATTGAGTGCTGGGGGACTTTTCTAACCCTCGGCCCCGTCCAACAAAGCGATCTTAGCGCCAAGAAGATTGTAAGCCTATGATAACGTATGTGAGTTACGATCACCTTATGCTAAGATCACTTTGTGGACACGCACAGGTCCCTACCGAAACTTGTGACCCGAGTAAGATGAACGGCCCGATGTTTCATGAGCCAGTGGTGATGGGAAAACTGGGGTTATTTCCAGTGTGATGATTGTGCTGTGTGTGCTGTGTGTGCTGTGTGTGCATTAAATCAACTTTTCATTGGTTTTAAACATCATCTGCTTTCCTGTTCACAGATACAGATTGGGAAAAAGGCGATGCATTTACCAATTCACATTTAATTTACTTTAAGTAAATCTGACTTATAAAATTATACTAAAATATAAAACTATATAATGTTCAGTATGCTTCAAATGGGTGGGGTCTGTTACCCCTCAGGTGTTTAGATGAAGCACCTGCTTAACTAAGAATATTGTTTAGCCATGCACTCCACATGATAGGATGAAACAGATGACTTTAATACACTTTCTTCTGTGAGTTGCATCAAAGAAGCAGTATGAGATACAGATGGATCCGACCAGGAAGATGTTGACCACACCTAGAATGATCACAGTTCCCTCGTCAGGATTCACCCGACCAAACACATCCACACACCAGACTCTGGCATGACACTCGCCTCCAACCCCTTCTCATCAAAAGGTTCCTACAAAACTTTCTTGTGTCAAGATATTTCAGACTGATTCAAGCATATTAATCCTACTTGACTCATCATACACTTATCATGAGCTACATGAAGCATGAATTCTTCTCCACTGATTGACCTGCATGTATATTGCCCTACTCCAGGTGCACAGACTGACTGACTGACTGACTGATTGAATGTAGCTGACATGCTCTACTGCTGGCAACCACTAGCAACAATTAAGATAGTGAGTGAATGTTGTTTGTTTGTTGTTAAACGCCACACTCAGCAATATTCCAACTATATGATGACTGTTAATATACGAGTCTGGACAAGACAATCCAGTGATTGACATCATGGACATTGATCCACACAATTGGGATACGATGACATGCCTCAGCGAGCCTGACCCCCCTATCCCATTAGTAGCCTCTAACGACAAGCATAGTCGCCTTTTATGGCAAGCATGGGTTGATGAAGACCTATTCTATCCCAGGTCTTCACGATTCGAATGTTGTTTTATGCCCCAGAAGCAAAATTCCAGCCACATCACAGTGGCAGGTCTGACTGACTGAGGGTGACATGCTCTACTGCTGTGAATGTTGTTTAATGTCCCAGACAGCAATATTCCAGCCACATCACAGTGGCAGGTCTGACTGACTGAGGGTGACATGCTCTACTGCTGTGAATGTTGTTTAATGTCCCAGACAGCAATATTCCAGCCACATCACAGTGGCAGGTCTGACTGACTGAAGGTGACATGCTCTACTGCTGTGAATGTTGTTTAATGTCCCAGACAGCAATATTCCAGCCACATCACAGTGGCAGGTCTGACTGACTGAAGGTGACATGCTCTACAGCTGTGAATGTTGTTTAATGTCCCAGACAGCAATATTCCAGTCACATCACAGTGGCAGGTCTGACTGACTGAGGGTGACATGCTCTACTGCTGTGAATGTTGTTTAATGTCCCAGACAGCAATATTCCAGCCACATCACAGTGGCAGGTCTGACTGACTGAAGGTGACATGCTCTACTGCTGTGAATGTTGTTTAATGTCCCAGACAGCAATATTCCAGCCACATCACAGTGGCAGGTCTGACTGACTGAAGGTGACATGCTCTACTGCTGTGAATGTTGTTTAATGTCCCAGACAGCAATATTCCAGCCACATCACAGTGGCAGGTCTGACTGA